TTAGACACCCATATTCAAGACCACTTCATTTTGGTGTAACGTTACACAAAACAAGCTGTCCGAGAGCATTCAGTGTGTATTTGGAAGAAAAGATTTACTGCTGAGAAAAAGACTAAAGGAAACCAAAGTGCTCCATGCTTTGTTTAAATTAACTGTGTACATGCATTATGCATGTCTTGATGATTTATGTTCAGTTGTGTACAAATGGAAATCTTAAGGATAAATATAGCCTCTGTATGAAAAGACTGCTCCTCTTTTTCAAATCATTTACAGTTCCCTACATTCAATGTGATATCAGACCAAACTTAAAGCTCTTCCAAGATTTCATCACTCTTTTTAATCAAAGAAAAGCTAACATTACCACTCAGAGCTTTGCAAGTTGACCGGATTTCTAGCCAGTTCAATGATAATCCTTTAAGTTCATAAAAGCAATTCTACGGTAAAAACCTCAGCAGCCTCTGAACACTAAAAGCACCCAAAGAAAAAAAATTAAATAATCGCACTTAGAACAAGAAGCAGCTGTCTGTTCACTTAAGTCACAAACTGATTAAAAAATATTTTTTATGTAGTCTGGTGTGCTACAACAGTTGCAAGCCCATCAGCACAGTGCTATTTATTATCTATACTTGCTCGCAAACCTCAAGTGAAGTCAGCATTGCCGCTGTGAAGGTGACAGTGTGACAGAGGTGGCGCTATCCCCGCTTGGTGCAGTTGCCATGAATGCTTTAACCTGGTCAGCCCTGAAGTCAGGCAGTTGGACTAGATGATCATTGTAGGTCCCTTCCAACTGAAATAGTCTATTCTATTCTATTTCTGAATCTAATGAGACTATGGAAACATAACTCTCAGATCCACCTGTTTCTTTTTTGTTCTGAGACATTGTTTAAAAATGCTATCTGCAATGGTATGTTATCCTTTCACTGCGCTAGAAAAGTGGAGGTGGAAACTAATAACCTACTCCCTAATTTGGAAGGTAATTGGCTATTAATAAAGAATTTTATCTTCTCATCTTATTGCTCTCTGAAAGTACCAAAGATCCTTCTGGTGGCAGAGACTCCTTGTTCACCAAATCCATAATCTCATTTTAGTCTGGACATACTGACACATGCATGGCCATGGAAAAAATGTAAGTGCTAAATTTTACACAATTCAGAACCTCTGTCAACTGTGTTGCTGACTTCCTGGTAAAAGCATCTTTGGGTTGCAATCCTTTAGGACTTAATGCAAAAGCCAAATGTTTGAAACTAGCCAAACAGACAGCATCATTCCGAGTTTGCAGCTAATTGACTGATCTCTAGGGGTTACAGACTCACTGAGCCCAGCATGGACTCACTAGAGTTTCCTACCATTAAAACAATAATAGCAAGGAAAAGAAAAGACAATGTGGTAGGAAGTCTGTTTAACTGTTAAGGGCACAACATGAATCAAGGAAACAATAGCTAAGCAAACTAACTGCTGATTGAATGGAACTGTTCAAGAAAAAAAAATATGTATGACTTTAGAGTGAGTTGCCATTGGAACTTGAACTGTTTTTCTTTCTTCTCTTTTTGTGATTTCTGACTGGCTTCACTTGGTACTAAAACTGAGCTATGAAATTACCTCCTCATGCCTGCAAGAGATAGTCAACTGTACTTGAACTAGAAAATAGTTTGCAGATCACCTTCTGCACTGGCTGAACAGGAGCTGCAACAAAGAAATCCCAATTATCATGAAAACGACCCAGGAATGGAAAACATCTGAAAGGTATACACAACCACACAATCCTTAAGGATCTGTGCTTTGTGATGATGATGACCCAAAAAATAGAGACTGCTATGAAATAATGGCTTTAATTTCATAACCCTGGCATGATTCTAACAACTACTGGCAGCTATGTAACTTGGAGTTAGGTTTTTCTGGCTCTGTGTATATTCTGGGTTTATGTTAAGCAAAAGCACACCTATACATGTATAAGTAAACGTACATATGCACAGTTTTCTTCTGCTCCACTTGTCACTCCTTATTCTTCTGACGATCCACTTCCCTGCAACGTAGTACTGCATTTGCAGAAACAGAAAGCCTACTATGTTACTCTTGCAGATAACAACGTCTGTACTCTGACAGAAATATTTAGAAAAGCAGCACAAGTGGCAGCCCTGTCATTTTGTCAACATTGTCTTGGATTAATTCCTTTCTCCACTGAATCAAAACTAGCCTTCCCTAAGATTCTTTCAGAACAAAAAATAAATCTAACTGTGAAAAACTCTTAAATAGTTACCAGAAAATTCCATATTAGAAATGGATATATCCTCTTCATAGATGAAATCTGTATTTTGACCATAGCCTGATGTATTGAAGCTTGTCAGTCAGCTCAGCCATACTGAAATAGTCAAAATTCCATCTTCAACCACTAATGTGTTAGAACTGTTGTACATTACGTTCCATGGCTGTGATATAGCCTGTCAGGCAAAGAACTGCTTTGCCAATCATATATTCATACAACTTCCACACCATCCTTAACCATCACTGACATACCTGTCAATCACTTGATTAGGGAATTAACAGAGTTATCATCGCTGGCAAAAACATGTGCATAGCTCACTATGTCCAGAAACAAGTGCTGCTTTGCTTGAGTCACTTTTTCAAACATCGTTGGTCATCATTCAGCACTGCTCTCCACCAAACCAAACCTGAACCTTATTTTTTGTAAAAACTGTAGAAAATGATTGAAAAATAGAACCTCACCTGCCTATTAACTGTCAAAAGGTGGCCAGAGACTCAGCACATCAGAGTCATCTTATGCCATTAACAAATATGACAATTAACTTTCACTTTCCTGTATTTACCTGTAACTATCTGAAAGATCAGTTTAGTCAGAGAACATTGTAAACTCAAAATGTCACCACAGTCTTACATCTTACACACCACCTGCATGAAGTCCATTCTTACTTAAAGAACATTAAGAGGCTGTAGAATAAATCCACAAGTATTACATTAATAAATATCCTCAGAAGATACAAAAGGACAGAAGAAAAGTATCAAGACTAAAAAAATCTGGTTATCAGATTGAAGAACAGGTCAGTCCTTAAAGAAACTAAATAGTAAGTAGCTGGAGCCACTTCTTTCTAGATGATTAGCTGACATCAACCTGGTTTTCTCAAAATTCATGGCAATTCAGCTTGTATCTCATACGCTGCTACCAAGTAAAGTACAGATCCCACTACTTCAGTGACCAAGGCTGCCTTTGCTCCCCACAATGGCCAGTGAGCATGAAGTATTTAAGTTCATGTCAATTCTGCTTTAGAAAATAGCCTGAACAAGGTTATCACATGTATTTAGTTGAGCTGAAAAGATAATCAGTTGAACAATTCTGGTGATGATAAAAATGTTTACTTGCTTGTCCCAGTAAGAATTTTGCTTGTTTCATCTGTAATAGCCCAGCTTCAGCGAGCCCAGAATTAACTTTCTGAAGGCAGGAACAGTGCAAAACTTCATGTTTCCTTCAGCTAATCTGTTCCATCACCTCTCTGCAACTCTCTTCAAGCCAGCTCAGCCACATTATCACAATCCTCAGCAGGCACAGAATATCCACTTAATGGCATCTATTACCTGTGCTGTTACATTACAGTGACTCTTCTCTGTGCCTCCTAACATTTCACCAGTCTGTCCATCTGGCATTTTCTAAGACCAGACTAGGGCTTTTTTGTTTGTCTTGCAAAAGACATAGCTGCAAAGTTAGTCCCAGAAGTCTGACATGAAAAATGAAAAAGACACCCCTCCATCTTTCTTGTTTTCCTGGAGAGTTTAACTAGGTTTACAGTTATAGGTGGATCTATAGGTGAGAAAGATGCAATTTGAAAAATCTTGCATATAAAAGACATCAGAGAGGTAACTAAATAAGTTGGCTGCACAAAATACTCAAGTTTCTAAGCTGCCTAAAAAAATTACACCTTTTATTTTTGCTGCTTGTTATTTATTCCTAACATATCACTTATTTTTAACTTTCATCCTCTTAATGCATTATGAAACTAGGTATAAAAAAGCATCTAAAAATTAAAACAGCATTAATGCGCTGTAGAGATTATCAGAACAAACAAGCATACATTTAAAGAGAAAAAAATGTAACAGACTTGTTATAGCGATATGTAGTTACTTCACTTTTAATACTTTTTTTTATTCCTCCCCCTCTCCTCCCTCCTCCTGTTTTTTGGGGTTTTTTTCCTTCATAAATTATTGATATTTGCTCCAGGAAGTTTAACATTGTACAACAAGTTAACAGCAATCCTAGCTTCAGGTATTGCTTGTCTTGCATGGCTGAGGATTCTTCTCTAAGCATTCCAGGTGTAAATGTAATGGAATATAAAAGTATGAGTTCACACCACAGGTAAGATTCATCCTCTCACTTATCTTGAGGTACCTGGTTTAAGCTACTCATTCGCGCTTCCTGCACAATCACTGGTAAAAGACATGTATCTTCAGAACGTGATGGTACTTACCTGTCTTAGGATAACCTGAGAAACCCTCCCTCTCCATTGACACACAGCTGGCTCAAACACCATGCTTAAGTTTCAATGTTCAGGTTAGGTGAGATGAGTCCCAGCTGAAAGAATCCATGAGCTCATACATTTGTCTGCACATTTAAAAGTGTATTTGTGCTTAACAAAGTCGGACTATGCTCATAGCTGGAGAAAATTAACTTGCTGAGCTACACAGCCGCCAACAACAATTACAAAGAATGTCTGGTTTACAAAACAGAATTCATGCACATTTACCTAGTCTTTTTTCTTCTTTTAAAACATGTAGAAAAAAACCCTGTTCTCCAAGTAAACAAGAAAAAAAGGTTTCAGTACCCTTTAACAGGTAAATAACAGGTAGATTTGAGTAAAACTTGCTAAAACAAGAGTGATGAAACTGAATCTGTAAGAGAAACTGTTTTTGTGGAAGGCAGATTAAAAACTTCTACCTTGGTTAGCATTTAAGTAATTCCATAAACAGTTTCTAAATACTGAAGAAAAACATACCTGGCATCAATTCAGCAGTAGGGAATATCTTCTCCTGCTTCATTTTACTTTCATGTAATAACTCTTCTTTGGTTATGGGAAGATCTAGAACATCTCGAATAATCTGTGCCCCTTCTAGGGCTTTTTTACCCATAACCAAGGATTTCACATCCCAGGTGTAGGTCTTTCCAAAACGCCCACAGATCTCTTCGAACACTATTGTATAGAGATGCTCAGTATCTGCCAAAAAAAATTTAAAAAAAAGATTAAAACCATGTACAGCTAGCTGAGCAGCCAATCTTACAACGAGGACCACATAAATGGTCACAGAGTGAACTACTGGGAGCCAGAGGACATATCAAAGTGGACAAAACTGCCTCCCTTTATTTGCAGAAGGAAAGCCAGACTTCTAAAATCACCTCAGAAGTACCTAGGTTTTTCAAGCTGTCACTTCTCTGTTAAGAAAAGATTACTGAGAGTCACAACAAAGAACTATCTGGACCTGCTCTTTCATCACTTTTCTTTACTATACAGGTTAGCAAGCAGTGTCTTAATTAAAATACTCTATTTATTCTTTGCATGAGAAAGAAAAGAAAGGAAGGAAATCTGGTACTTGGGGGATGTAATTACATATTCCATGTAAACTGGAAAAAAAAAAGATTTAATTATGTGTGTCTTTGAACAGAAGCTTCAGAGTGCCTTCAAAGACACTACAGTCATTATTATAGTGCTGCTGGCACCTCTGCATTTACATGTGATTACTCAAGCAGAACACACCCACTTGTATTTCCAGGGGGGTTTCTTGCAAGAGTAAACTTCAGGCTGAATTTTGCCAGTGAAACTATCAGCTTCTGTGTCAAAAGTGGTTTTAGTTTTCAAACAATTATTTTTTTTTAAAATACAAACAATTCTTCCTGTCTTTACCCCCAGACAAATCTTTGAAAAAGAAGGTCAATAACATTTAATTTAACACTAAAACGGGGAAGAAAAGTCCTTTCAACTCTTGGCTTCACTTCAGCAAAGATCTTGAACAGTGGCTTTTCTACCAGTCTGTTTATCTTTTTAAGTAGTCTCCTTTGAAATGCCAGCTACTGCTGTTAACCATGCTTTAATTTCCTTCTCATGCATGTCTTTGCCTTCTGTATCTCTAAAGGTATGTTTATTATTATCACTTTAGCAATGAAAGGCAAAAGCGAGGAAAGAAAGTAGTTGCTCTTATGAGATTTATTTAGAGAAATTAAGGACTTCACTTATCAACATGTCCTTTGCCATGTAAAAATGTTTTTATAGGGATAATAAAATAGTGAAATTATTCATGCAGACATTGCCTCACTTTCTGAATATATAAGAAATATGCGACAGAGTTTAAACTTTAAGCTTTAACACAGATACTATGAAGAAGACAGACTGAAGAAAGAAGAGCAGAGCCCACGACTACAATATACGTGAAGATCTTCCCTGCAGTCTGACAAATGCTCGCCGCTTAACCACAGTAATCTGCTTGTCCCGAGATCAGCAGATGATTCCGATCTGAAATCAAATGCGAAACATAGGGGCCGTTTCCCATCATCGCACCTACCATCATGTGAACACACAGCAGTGCAGAAGACACGCTCTGCCGCCTGCCAGAACACTCTTCTTCATGCTCCCCTTCAGTAACTAGAAGGAATGCTGAGCCAAAAAATCAGCTAAAGACCCAGTGTACTTGTCTGGACTGCTTAACAGGGCAGCAAATGGTTCACAAAAACCTCTTAGCTTAAAAATGAAAGAAAAAAAAAAAGCACCTGAACTACTCTTTGCAAATGCTTCTTAAACAACAACACTTATGGAAAAAAGTTAGGAGTAATCCCGGAGACCCATAAAACACACAGGAAAGGTATCACAGCAGAAAGACAAGCAACTAGGCTTTGAAAAGTGTTAAGCTGGCTAACAGCAGGAAGGAAAAAAACAACAACAAAAAAATCCCCCAGTTTGCTTGATACTGCCAGGTGGTACTCTCTGCGGGATGAGAAGGTGAATTAAGAATACAGTGTTTAAAATTTCACAGTTCTCTCTTTCCTTTTTTCTCATATACAAGTTTTTCTTCTGTATCTCAGACTCACCAGGTGAAGGACATAAAATTCTTACCCTAAATTTAAAATTGAAACTGAAAATTAATCCTCATCCTATTAAGTAATACATAGCAAACTAAGCAGAAATAGAACAAAACAAGGAATCAAAAAGTATAATTGTAGAACATGAAAATTTTCCTACAGGTCTCTACAATAATTACATGTTAATCTATTTGAAAGTGAAAGACTCAACTGTATAGCTAAAGATACTCAATTTAATAGCCTCCTGCTTTGTAAATATCACATACCAGACTTGTGAACAGAATTTTATTTTTCTTCTAAAAGAAATGCTTAATAATGTCCCTATTGCAGACCTAAAAATAATCTGTTATGCAATGTTGCAGTTTGCCAACTGAAGAACATTCATGAACAAGTTTGAGTAAAATCTATTAAAACAGTTAATTGTTACCCTATTCTTATTGTGTTAGAATTTATTTTTTTCAGTGCTGAGAAACAAAAAAAACCACAAAACAAACAAACAAACAAAACCCCAAACTGGTCAACACACCACAACTGACCACTGCCTACATTTAATTTAAATGTGAGTTAGTCTCACATAGTACTCAAGTGTTTAAAGCAACATAAATGCTTAAACAAGCAGGATGTCAGAAAGCCTTCTTTCCTTCCCTCTCCTCGTTAATTATCCATCAAAAGAATTGGCTTACAAAACCTCCAACTTGTCTTTCAAAGAGATCACTTTCACTCTGCCTGAAGTCATAGCATGTGGACCCTGGACATAAACTTGGTTGCAATGAAAATTATCATCATCTCAAGATTCATGACCTCTTGTAAGATTCTACGTATTCATAATTCTTGAGAAACAATGTGATTTTAATTCTCATGATTGGATGACAAAAGCACAGATGTGTACATTTTACTGGCTCGAATAGACATGTTTCACTACAGCACATGAATAAAAACTGAAATCTGGGGAAAAAAATTACTCATATGAGCACACACACACACACTGCAAAATATCCAGTCGGAATCTGAGGAGACTACTGCTGAAAAAGCTGCACTTCCTATATACATATATAACAGATAAGGACATACATTCCTTTTGATTGAAGACAAAGGAAAATCTATATGTCCCCCTTATAATTAGACAGCAGTAAATAAATACCAAATAACGATACAACTTCAGATTTCTTATTCCCATGGAAATGGAGGAATCTCAAAAAAACTGCTTAACAAATACGAGGTAGGCTAGCTTTTTCGCCATTGTAACAAGAAATAAACCACAGCACAACTGATTGATCAGAGTTTAAGTATAGCAAAGAATCATAACTTCAAACTACTATAAATCAGCGATACAGTAAGAAATTAAATCTCATGTACACACATAAATATAACACATCAATGAAATAAAACAAGCAAAAGGAATTAGAAGTTCAATTCAAGTGCCTAATTATAGGCATCTACTGGTATCTTAGACACCCTGGTATGTCCAAGACATCCACACACAGCTGCCATTAAAAAAAGTAATCTGGGCGAGACTCACACCTTACCGCATGAGCAGCTGGATGCCCTACAGCATCCCAAGTGGTAATAGACACATACATTTCAGCAAGTGAATCCAGCCCAACTGCTAGCTCCCATCAGGAATACAAGCTGAGAACACAGCGGGACACAGGTGGCAGTGGCCTGTTCTAACAGGGGGAAGAAAAAGCAAGACTTCGTCGTTCCTGCAATTTGCAGTAAATGTACAACCTCAGCTTCATTCTCTTCGGCCTTTCAAAATACTCATCATCATTCTAGCTCTCATCCCTTGATATATCTTTTACATGGACATTATCACCACGACGTACTGTCCATCCACTCACTACATTTCACTGGGAGTGAGTGATATTCATTCCCTAGCCACATATCATATCATCTTCTAGTCATTTTTATAGCAACCCTTCTTCCATATAAAAAGCACAGTCAACTCCACTGGTGCTGTTTACAGTGTGTAAAAGCCAGTCATAATAAATACAAATAAAGTTACAAGAATGACAGAGGCACTAGATTACTCAATTTGTGATCTGGCACAAAAATCTGCTGACACGTATTCAGAAAAACCTAGAGGTCACTTGGCATCAGACCACAGTGCATAACTGGAGTGTATGTTCTGCTCAAATCACTGCAGAGTCAGAATTAGAAGTGCAGATCTACCTAGGTTGGGGGCTACAGCAAGCATCAGCAAGCATGCAGTATCTAAACCTCAGCTTTGTCAATCACTTACTTACGCATGAAGACAGCCTAAAACAGAAGATTATGACTTCATGAATGAATATGGAACTTGGATTTTTTTTAGAAGGTTATACACCTTCCGAATTTATTAAAATTATTTTATTGTAATTCTAAAATAATCTCTAGTTTATCAAGGAGACGAGGTTAGTAGGCATGAAAACTCATCTTAGCCATAGCTTATCTTAACCATTGGTTCCGAGTTCTTCTTTGTTTGAATAACCCATCCCATCTTTGCATCAAGCTTCCCAGATGAAATACACCTATGATTTATCCTTCTGCTAGGCGTCTGAACAGAATTTTAATTGTATATATTCACTATATTCCAGTAAGTCAAAATCAGATCCTGGACACCTAAACTCTGCAAGATTTTTATTTTGATGGGGAATAGAGACATGGTTAAAAGGAAAAATTTTAATTCAAGCAATAGGTTTCTTGTGTCCATACCTGAGGCAGATTTCTGTCCATATGTAGAAGAGAACCATCTCCAATATTCAATTTAGCCATATTCAAACACAATTAGTCATTTTTACCAAGATTTTGGCCCAAGATTGAGAGAATCTCCTTAGATTTCGTCACCATCAATACTGAATGAACACCCAGATGACTGATTTTGCCTTCCTATCAGTCTTTCACAATATTCCTTTAACCTCTTCAGGGTATGCAACAGTGTAAGAAGCCATACAAATTACTGAAATGTTCATTTGGGGTACAAGAGATAAATATAATTATAAACCAGAACATAATTATAGAAGTGGAAATGTTTGCTTTGCTTTTTGCAACTCAATTGGTGGCATTTAGCACAGTATAAAGTGTTAACTTGCAAACAAATCTATGCAATTGTTGAAATGGTGGGGGCAATCAACATTCCAGAGAGTATTAGATGTTTCTTCTACTCATGGAGTTATAGTAATGACTTTTACATTTTCTCTCATTTCTGGATTTAAGTGTAACACAGGCCTTTGTGTGTTTATTCTCCCACTGTATCAACTGAACAGTGTTAAAGAACGCAGGACTTAAACACAGTAATGGCAAAAACAAAGTAGTGACGGATTTCCCATCAGAAAGACTAACTTTGTCAAGTCTTGAATATCACATGCAGAACTCAGTCAATCGTCCTCTAAGCTTCATGCCCACCTACTTCAACATCTGCAAAATCATGAACTCACGGTTCCCTTCCCTCTCTCTCCAGCATACAAAAGATGCAGCTGATCAGCTCACTGACCAGTTGTGTCAAGTCTGTGAGACTCAGGAGTATAACAAATGCTGCAGCACTGCATGAAAGCCAGGGAACGGACATCTCTCAGTAAGGCTCTGTGCTCTAAAGAGATCCATCATCAAGCCTGCCACTCTACACCACCTCTCCCCACAGGCAGTACATGCTCTTAGCTTCTTCGATTACAGAAGTGAACCAATTCTTGAAATATCCATGTAACTGAGGATATGAACATCAAACAGTGGTACATTCACCACATTTCCAAATGTTATGTGGACTATCACAGAGTTTAGGAAACACCACTGCCAAGATAAAACCCCCATAACTATCCACAAAACTTGCAAGATCCTGCTGGTGGTTTTGGTAAGCAGTAAAGAAGAAAAGAGTGGGAAACCAATGGCCTCTAAACAGCACACTTAGAATGGAACAAGGAACATCCTCTCCACCCAAAGAACAATTCAAGGTATTACTATCCGCAGATTATCAATTACAGCTCCATCTCAAAAAAATTAAGAAGAAATAATACATTATGACAAACTGCTGAAACATAAAAATACAACAGCATTATAAAAACCAGTCACTGAGGGAGCAATAGACCATGCCACTGAATAAAGCATAGTGCATAACTCCTTCCTCATTCTTTTTCTATCCTACCATTTCTTTCAGTGGGAATCTGAGAGTTTCCCCTTAAGATGTCAGCAGTCAAACAAGACAGACAAAACCAGTATAAGCAATGCAAAAGACTAGCAGCTATACAACTGTCACTGGAACAGGTCTGAAATTGCAAAAATTAGTTTAAACCACCCAGAACCACTGAAGAATTAGAGCTCAAGGCTCCTAAGTTACCAAAACAATCAGAAAAAAAGGAAAGGAGAATGTGAAGTTTTTTTTTTTTTAAATAAACTATCTACTTTTAGTAGACAACTATCTTGCAATTTGTGGCCAAAGGTGAGTCTTGCAGTTCCCTCCCAACATCCCTCCATTCACAATTTCACTGCTGTGAAAGATATTTTA